TTCTTTTTAATTTTTTTACAGGGCCTGGTGCAGTGGCTCACACCTGTAATCCCAGCACTTTGGGAGGCCGAGGCAGGCAGATTGCCTGAGGTCAGGAGTTCGATACCAGCCCAGCCAACATGCTGAAACCCTGTCTCTACTAAAAATGCAAAAATTAGCCAAGCGTGGTGGCACCCACCTGTAATCCCAGCTACTCAGGAGGCTGAGGCAGAAGAATAGCTTGAGCCTGGGAGATGGAGGTTGCAGTGAGCTGAGATCATGCCCATGCACTCCAGCCTGGGCAACAGAGAGAGACTCTGCCTCAAAAAAATAAAATAAAATAAATAATAAAAATAAATTTTTTTTACAGAGATGGCATTTCACCATGCTACCCAGGTTGGTCTTGAGCTCCTAGCTTCAAAGTACTCCTCCTATCTCAGCCTCTCAAAGATTTGGGATTACAGGCATGAGTCACCATGCCCAATGCCCAACAACCTGGAGTTTCTTAACTTCATCCGTTTTACATCTATGCCCTTTTGCGTTAGCCTGGCATGCCCTTGTCTATCCTGTGTGATCACTGAACCAATCAACCCACCAGATCCAGTTAGACATTTGCTCTCTGAAGCTTCCTGTCACCTCTTCTGTGCCACTGTCCTCACCAGGGCCACCTGACAGGCACTGCTGTGTTGGCCTAACCATCTTTCCTACCACACAGGAGCAACCAGAGAAAGCGACTAGGCCTTATTAATCTCGTCCACCCAGGGGTCTGGCACACAGTAGGCATTCAATAACGATGCTTGCTCAGTGAATTAAGACAATCACAGATAAGTGTATGTTACTACACAGGGCTATAAAAGAAGTAAACAGAAAAATAACTCGCTCTCTCTCAGGATTTCTAATCAAATGGTTCAAAGCCTTTCACCGGCCTCAGACATTTACATCCCATTTTAAGAAGAGGCAACTGAAGTTCTAGGTCAGTCTTTGAAAGGGCCTAACTTGTTTATCAAAGACAGTGGAGGGAAAATGTTCAAATCTAAGAAGAAATTATTATCTTACAAAATTTACACTGGCCCTGCTTATATCTCAAAGCTTCTTGTCTCTCTGGGAGGAGGAAGACAAATCAGCTTGGCGCAAATCAATCAAGCAGCATTTATCAGGCCTCTGCTCAGGACTGGGCTAGGCCCGCACCTATACACACGCACTGATTCCCAATGCAAAGCCAGACAAGAAGAAACCAAACTGAGAAATGGAGAATGTCAAATCTTCTCTCCAACCGCAGCCTGACTTCTCCTGAACTCTACCGACTTTCTTCTAAGCTCCGAGAACACTGGTTTGTGCTTATACCAGGTGACACCAGGCTTCTCCTTGGTGCCAACCTCCTATCACTTTCACAAAAGCCTTCCCTGACTCTAGCCCACACTAATTCTTCTCTTTTCTGTATTTCAGAATTTCAGAAATTCTTGCCTGCACAATTAATTTTGGCATTAAATCACAACATCTTATTATCCTTTTCTTAAGAATTTATCTTATCTTTCCCAAAGAGGTAGCAAGATACTTAAAGATCAGGTTTTGCATCTCTCACATGATCCAGTACTGAGCATATAGTAGATGCTTAATAAAAATGCCAAGAAATTGAACTGTTACCATTCGGGCAGGTTTCTATGTTCTGTCTGCCAACACTGGCATTTACTAACATCTCAAGGCCAACCACATTCACCAAAGAACAGAGATGCCAAAAGAGGCACCCAGTGGCACACCTGTCACTGAGTAGGTAGGCCAGCAAGTTCAAAGGAGAAGAGCACTGGGCTCCCTGGGGTGGTCTTGGAAAAGCTGCCCCACCCTGAGACATGAGTGTGTGGGGCTAGGCCCAGGGGATCCCATTTTCTAGGCTTGGGCTCAGAGATAGAATATCCATAAAAAGCCAAGATACGGGGAGGAAAGGGCTGCCGGGGATCTAGAAGTAAAATCGGCAGGAACGCACAGGAACGGAGGCCATAAATCCCTCCCAGACGCAGACAATGCCTCAGTAATAAGCATGCAGATTGCACACCTAGTTCAGAAACTCCCCTGAGTTTGCTTGTAATTAAGGGGGTTAGAAAGGTAAAAAAAATATATAAACCCAATTAATCATTTAAATATTTAAAGTCAGATTTTTCCCTCACTCCAGGATTAGTATATTTCATAACGCCAGCAGCAGACAGCCCTGGTTTTTACTGGGGTTCATTTTAGAGCATGTTTAAACTAGTCAGATTGAGTGATGCTTCCAGCAACTAATCGCATGTCAAATAAAAGATATTTTATGTAATAAATTACCGCTACAAGTAATTCAAATGTCATTTATCAGTTTTATTATCAGTCAGGCAAAGTCTTGTTTCTCTATATTAATCAAAATCAAGCTTTTTTTTTTTTTAAGCAGTTTTGACACCTCTTGGCAAAAGTACAGAAGTGAAGAGGCAGTCACCCCCGGAGCTGAGAGGAGCGAGGTAACGGTACGAGAAGAACGAAGCTCAATGGTGACAACTAAAAACTTCAGGTATTTAAAATTACCATTACCATTGTTTTTACAGGAGTGTCAAAGCAGGAAGAAGTCTGTCTCTAAGAACATGTATTTTATTTTTAGGGCTGGGAGACTCTTAAAACTATTCCTACCTAAATACCTCAACGGGTAATGAATGCTTTTTCTCAGAGCGATCTGGACAGGAGAATGATTTAAACGGCTGCACTGCCCCTCCCCACCCCATTCTTTTGCCTCTTTCAGAAAGACTAACAGTTTAACCCTTTGTGTCTACGGCAAGTAGGTGAACACATGGCCTACCAACTCTGTGACTGACCAGAACAGTTTGCTCTGAGTCAGAAGTTTCCAAGTAACTGAGAGACCTGTTCGGTATTAAGCCACTGGAGGAAACAGCTGGAATAGAACAGATGTGCATCTTAGAAGATTCTGCACCCCAGCTGCCACTGCCTATCCTCAACAAATCCCATTACATGGCTGGGCCCAGAGACACAACTAAAGAAAAAGTGTGGAGACTCAGCCTTTGGTTAAAAAGAAGCACATAAAGTCAGCTTAGGACCCAAAGCAACTACAATGGACTGGAAAGAATGCTGGCCAGAAAGGATAAAGGAGCCCCAAGCTGACAAGTCGCAGGTGCTAACCCAGTAGCCTGGATACAGGACATGGCTCAGCACTGAAGTTCTGCGCCCTGCAGTGGGTCACCCAGGGAGGAGGGTACTGGCAGACTGACACACTTGAGCACACACTGCCTGGCCTCCCCAACTCAGCCTTGTGTGGACAGCCAGAGGAGGAGGTCTCTAAATAAGCTCTGTAACACAGAGAGCAGATTCCGACCCACTGACTGGCCCTTCAGCAAGTCCGGAGAAGAGAAGGCCCTTCTGGCTCTACCGAGAAGATCGCTCCTGACTGGCTACAGCTGAGCCAGATGAAAGCAGTGCTGAGGTGAGGGAAAGAAGGTAGCTTCAGGCCAGGTGTCGGGGGATCAAAATGAATCTGTCATGTGAAAATATGCCTTTTAAAATCTGCTATCTAACCATTCTTAATAATTTTTTGAAAAAAGAAAACTTCTGAGAATAACAATTAAAATGACAATTGTAGAAAAGGCACTTTGAAAGATAACAGATCCAATGTTGAGTTTCTATTTCTTTTTTTTTTGAGACTAAGTCTCGCTCTATCATCCAGGATGGATGGAGTGCAGTGGCCTGATCTCGGCTCACTGCAACCTCCACCTCCTGAGTTTAAGCAATTCTCCTGCCTCAGTCTCCCGAGGAGCTCTGGGATTATAGGCGCATGCCACCATGCCTGGCAAATTTTTTGTATTTTTAGTAAGAACGGGGTTTTACCATGTTGGCCAGGCTGGTCTTGAACTCCTGACCTCAACTGATCTTCCTGCCTCGGCTTCCCAAAGTGCTGGGATTACAGATGTGAGTCATCGTGCCTGGACTATTTGTTTTTTTGAGACAGAGTTTCACTTTTGTTGCCCAGACTGGAGGGCAGTGACACGATCTCAGCTCACTGCAAGCGATTCTCCGCCTCCTGGGTTCAAGCGATTCTCCTGCCTTAGCCTCTTGAGTGGCTGGGATTATAGGCGCCTGCTACCACACCTGGCTAATTTGTTGTATTTTTAGTAGAGATGGGGTTTCATCATGTTGGCCAGGCTGGTCTCGAACTCCCGATGATCTCAGGTGATCCATCCACCTCAGCCTCCCAAAGTGTAGGGATTATAGGTGTGAGCCACCACACCCAGCCCAGTGCTGAGTTTCATTAAAGAAACAAAATTGAGCTATTTTTCCATAGCTTTGTAGTCAATTTTAGCTTTTTTAAAAGTGATTTCAAGGAGGGTTTCTGGCTGCATTTTGGAGGTATGCATTTATAACTCGCTTTATTCCTATAGTAGCTTTCATTTAAGAGCAACGAAAGAACCCTCATGGGTCATGATCTGTATATTGATAATTAAAAGCAACATTCAAAAAGGACCTTTACGTTTTAACCAGAAATTACCTAACAGACTACTACTACGTGAATGTACAAGGTATAGCCAGGACAAGGGAGGGAGAATTGGAAATGGAGGCTGACCTAAACCTACAAATATTAACTTAAAAAAATAAAATTGGGAGACCGGTTATTGCAGTGAGCAAACAAGAAGGCACCCATGAGTCAGCTGTTCATGTTGCTTTCAGTGAAACAGTAACATTCCAAAGCACCGGGATGAGATGGCAACAGAATCAATAAATAGTCCTACAGGTTTTCTGCCTGTCAACAAAATACCTGAAACAACAATAAAATCATTTACTCTGATCCCTTGCCTCTTCTCAAACCTTTATCACAGGCTTTAAAAAGTTTGTCTAGAAGACCGGGGTGTGTCACATTCCTTGGGAAAAACCCAAGAGCTTTCTGCTGCTCCCGGTTTCTCCCGGTTTGCTAAGTCTGGGAGACACAGAACACTGCTCTTTGGCCAGAGTCCTGAATCCCAATCAAGGTTAAGCAGGAGCTTCAGCGGGTGACTTACTGTATGGCTGAGATATGAGGTGAGGGGGCTGGACAGGAACCACCTGTGTGGCTGGGCCCAAGGACGAAGGCTCGTCAGCAGCAGTGCCGGACTGCTGGAAGGCCATATCAATCTCTTCATCTGTCAGCCCTGGGGAGAAGAGGACATAATCGCAGGTGAGTACCTTTTGCCAGGGTCCATAGCTGCAACAGAATCTTCACTGAGCAAAGACTTTTACAGCCACAGAATGCCTTGCAACCTAGTAAGTTGCCTCCCCGATTTCAAATTCTCCGGAACCTCCCTCAGTTGCAATTTAACCTTAAGCGACAGAATATTAGCCTCAACACGGCTTCCAAATGTGGCTCATTCAATTTCCTTAATTTATCCTTGAGTTTATTGCTGCTTTTGAAGTCGCTCCGTACTGCAATTCTCCATTCTTCCCCCGAAAACAGATACCATCAACTGCAAATGTGGCTCATTTTAATCTGTAATGGTGTTAAAAAAAAGAGGGGAAAAAACCAACAATAATGCATGAAAACAGACAGGGAAACAAAAAACTAATTATTGGGTGAGACGACTAATTAGTCTAGATCGTTTCTGAAGACGGGAATAATTTGCTTTATTTTATGACAAATGCAGAAATAAAAAGAAAAATCAGGACTGACTGTGATTAGTATGAATGGGATATAGAACGTAAAGAAGAAAATAAAACAAGAAAACAGATCAAAACAAGGCCAGGCCCAAACTTTCAGATGATTATTACTCTAGCCTATCATACACTGCCTGCATTGCCTTTGGCTAGCTTTTCTCTTCCCTTTTTTAAATCCTCCCGATACTCTAAACCACACAGTACATGGGACATCAGGAAGTAGCAGGGCGCCATCTGCAGTGGCTATGCCATGTGGAGAGGATTTGCCCACAGAAGAATAAAAGGCAAATGAAAACCCCATGAAGACCACATTTCCAGTGGGCACACAGCTGGGATATTTCCAATGGGTCTTAAGTCAATTTGGGACATTGACTCATGGGAGGAGGAAGAGGGCCCCAACCAACCCGAAGAACAGGAACAAAATGTGACACACGAGTATGAAACCAGTGGTCTCGCGGGGCCAGCTCAGGAAGCAGCCCTGTGTACAGAGATGCCCTAGCTGATGAAAGTGGGAAAAGCAGGTGGGAGGTCACTGCTAGTCTGCAAAAGACCACTCGGCCTGCCCGTGCTGTTCCGGGAATCCCAATATCCAAGCGAGCTGCAACACAGAGCTTTTAAACTAGAGCCAAGAGCTCTTCCACATCTGGTCGGCAGCTCTCCATTAGAGGCCCACAGCATGGTATATTTGCCCCTGGGGGTAGATGAAGTACAAGGAGGTTCTGAGGATCAGCATCTTCAAAAGCATGGTGCCTCATATTCTGTGCCTAGGGGCTAATAGATGGTGTACATTAATGCTTTAAAGCACAGCTCTGCCCTGTACCATACTAGCATGTGAGTTGACTGCAGCCATCCCTCAAACTTTTCATGTCCTACCACAACTGGTCAAAGGAAAATGCCTGAACTCTTCTAAATAGCCCTGGACTCTTTTTTCCCTTCTCTGTGCTGAGAAGCTGAGGACTGCCCCCATTTAAAACTGCAGCTGTTCCCCTCTTTACCCTCTTCACACAGTGGAGCTGGCCAAGGGCAGGCACAGCCACAGCACTGGGAAGTCTGAAGAGCCACCGGATTGCCCCAATAGCATAGTGCCCTCAACAGTATGGTGGGCCTGATGAAAATGCTTCTAGGGTTCACAGCACATCACTTACCAACTTCCAAAGACAAAAACTGAAGTTCGGTAGAGTGGAGCTAGAGAGGGGGTGCTCGATGCAAAGAGACTGCTTAACCCATAATTTCACCTCCCAAGAAGTACAGGGACAGGACACACAGGCAAGCCAGGCAACAACAGAGAACACATCCCACTGAGTTTGTGCCTCTCCGGCTCCAGCCTGCGTAGTGACTGCGGATCGCTCCTACTAAATAGGAAGGGGAAGCCCTTTTGGAGCCCTAGTGGGAAAGACATGGTTTTAACCAGTTCATAATCAGCCATTAGAGAAGAACACAGCATCTGCGATGTCAGCACAGGCTGATGGTCACTGGTACACTACGGAATTTTATAAACCTGGTGGTTCGTGTGCCTTGTCAGCCACTGGCTGCAAATGAGGATAATTTTCCCAAAAGGAGCATTCAGTTGCATTCTCGTTTTCCCTTTTGGCTCTTTCAAATATAAACAAGTACAATAATGTTTAACACTGGGGAAATATACAGTAACTTACAGGCTGTGCTTCGGCCCTGAGAGCCGGTGCTGGTTAAAGGGACAGGACTCCCTGCCTGCAGATCTGCCCTCTGGCCCTGAGCTTTTATGAAACCTATTTTCCTAATAAAACATGTTCCTTGCATTATCTCAGCCAAGCCCACTAGTGAGGCCACAGTTGAAAGGGCATCAGCACTTCCTTCCAAGCTCTTGTTTTTCAGAGACCTTATCATTTTAGACTCAAAATTTATATTGGCTGAAATTCTGATATCCCTGGTTCTCTGGGAGAGTCAGGATTTTGATTTAGTTACAGTAAATGAATCCTTTCTCTCTTTTTTTTTTTTTGTGCCGGGGAGTGAACCAGGGGCCTCATGCATGCCAACCTTTCTCTTCTTTTAAAAAATAAGCATTTTAACAATCTCACTGGATCATATTCAGAGCCGGGCCATTATCCTGGTCACTGCCCTCATTTAACATATAAGAAACCTGAGGTCCAAGGAGGGTAAAAATGACGCCCCACACCCTGTAGGGAGCTGTGATGCTGAGGAGCACTCAAGGCTCCCCCTCTCCAGCGCAGTGACTTTCCACTACACCAGAGTTACCAAACATCAAATGGCAGACTCAGACTATGTCTTAGGTCTTCAGCCTTGTTAAAAAGCTTTACAGAAGGATTACATTTTCTTCTCCCCACTCCATTCCCTCCCCTGGCACTCTCATCTAGAGGAAGGGGCTGGTGAATATTGTTTTGGGGCTACACTGAAACAACACAGGAACTTAACCCCTGGCTCCTATCTGTAAATGACACCTGGACAACTTTTTGAACAACACAAGAGTGACAAAGGTAGAATGTCCTTGTCTTGTTCTCATTCTAATATTCTAGCCCCAAATCAAATCCAAATGCCTGTCACAGACTTCCCTGAGTGTCATCTTCCTCTGAACATCCCCACCTTAGGCAGAACTGGCCAGCTTCACGACTGTATTTACAGGAGTCAGGTGGTTCATCTGGAACTTAGGGAGACTGAGTGAGAACACCCATCTCTCTCCAGATCACAGCTAGTTATCTACCCAGTCATTGGCTCTTGGTGCTGAGATGACCCTGCCTTCAGGGACAAGGTGCTGCCATGGAGCCAATATAAAACATCGAAGTGCCCTGGCTCCATCTTTCCCACACCTGCCAAGACAAACTGCTGATCTTAGATTGAGACCTTGCAGAATCCAAAAGGTTAAAAGGAATAATAAAGGAAACTGCCAATTGTAAGTGAATTATATTTGGCTCTGAAAGCTGAGGCACAGGCTATATTATAAAAGGCATCTCTTTGCCGTTGTTTACCATCACCCTGACTAATGCAGACCTTTTTTTTGTTTTGTTTTAAATAATCTCATGCAAATTAGACACACACACTTCCTTCCAGTTGATTGCTATCTGCAAGGAATAATCTAACCGCAGAGGGACGGAGCAATGGCTGAGCAGGCAGAGAGCGGGAAGCAAAGGGCTTCACCGTCCTGCAAGCCTCCTCCCTCCTCTATTCATCTGAGTCTCCCTTTAGCTGCTACCTTTGGAAGAATTAGTCCATTTTAATAAAGCCCCAAATGTTCTTTTAGTTGAGGTATCAATATGCATTACCTGATACCACTAGCACTAAGCATTCAGATGTTCTGAATAACTTCCTTTCTGCCACTTGGTGATTTTCAAGAGCTACCAATCCCCAACCCCCAGCCACCCAGTCTACAGCACTGACAATCCAAATCTATTATTGACAGAGAATAACACTAAGAAATTCCCGTTTCTTAGCGTTACTCTCTCCACTCACTAGCTCTAGTGAAAAGGAGGAGAATGGGACAAGGGAGCTTGTCTCAGAGGAGGAGAGGCGAAGAGGTTGTGGGCCAACTCTGAGAGGCAGAGAGGCCACTTCATCTTTTCACACCACAGTGGCCTGATCGGCAAAACTGAGAGCTCACAATTCAAACCAAACTCTCTGAGTGAAGATTCCATGTGCCCAGCGTCGGGGCAGACTTCTTGCTCTCTCAGTTCTCTAGAATCTACTTGCAAAAACTTCCAGGGGAGCTCCCTGGACCAGGAGAAGGCTGCTGCCCTTGTGCAGGGGCTGGGCCAGGCATCTCTTCTCCAGGGTGGGCTTCTCATAAAAGAACAGAGCAAGTGAGCTACATCCTATTGATGAAAAAAAACCCCGGTGTCACTGCTGCAGTGTCTGACCTGCATGGCCGCAGGGCTGCCATCCTTGCCTGCTTTTATCCCCCAGAAGATAAACAAATTTGCTTTCTTTTTCTCAAGGTTTCTGTTCAAATGCAAACAAAACCAGACTGATAGACTTTGTGAGCTGCAGGGTACTAGCTGCGACTGGGATGCCCTAGGGTCCTTTCCCACGACTCAGACCAAACCAGGGACACGGAAGGGCTGTCTTTTCTCTATGGGACAGGCTGTGCAACGGTTTCTCAGGATAAGTAACCTCAGCACTGTCCCCAGTGACCGCTGGGCACTGCCACGGGGCCTGGCCCCGTGCAGGTGAAGCAGAAAGACAGATGACAGAAGACAGCAGTGTTCTCTTCATCTTTCAGGTCAAACAACAACCAGGACAGAAGGGTTAGGAAGAGTTTGAAATAAGCAAGGTAATGAACTCCCGCCAGCGCCTTCCTGCTCAGCCCTAGTTTTATTATAAAAATGTGGCATCTGACTGAAATCACGGGAACAGGGCCAGAGGGCCAGCAGCAGAGGGTGGCAGTCAAGGGCTGGTCACTGGGACCTCTTCCTCCCCGCTCCGCAGCCCCCTCTATTTCTAGGACTAGGGCAATTCATCCGGGACTCATGGACACTGAGCGGGGGTCACCTCTCTCAGAACAACTAAGTTATCT